GTGCATGGATCCACAACCTGTTCTCCCTGACCCATTTTAGAGGAAGAGAAGAGAAACAGAGAGTGAGAGAGAGAGATATTGAGAGAGAGAGAGAGAGAGAGAGAGAGAGAGAGAGAGAGATGATAGAGAGAGAGAGAGAGAAGAGGGAGAGAGAGACGAGATTGAGAGACAGATAAGGAAACTTGCGAGAGAAGAGAGATAGATTTTGAGCTCGCTCTGATATCTACTGCTCTCTCGCTCTAGCCCCTCAGCGATCTTTCCTCCCCTTACTGGTCCTATCCCGCCCTCCCGCTCCTTTGAAACCGGTGGCTTAATAACAGTCACAAGAGAAACTGTCTCTGTCATTAGAGTGAAACGGTTCCAATGAGGGAAAGAGGAAGAGAGCTACCCTGGCCACTTAACAGTAATTGTAAAAATGGTCTGGTCCCCTCAACTAGAAAGAAGACTTGGAATTGTGGATGGAGGAAGAGTGATTTCCTCTTGTGGATGTGTTTCCCCCTACTTTTCTTACGGTATGATGCTATGGATCATCATCATCGTGTATGTTACAACTCCTCCTGAAGGAAAACAGCTGTTGTATAGTAATCCCTCCAAGGCAGAAAGGTGAGACACATTGTCTAGTCACCTTACCTCTGCTTTCCATTGTGTATGATTACTAATTCTTAATTGGATAAATCATCCCTGTGAGAAGAAAGGACACCTCCAAGGCACCAACTTCTTGTGTTGTTCAATGAAATGAGGATGTAAGAAGTTATTTTTTTCTGAAATGGACTGTGTCATTGGTTTGAACAGATTTACTCTGAAACCCTTTGTAACCGAGATGCGTGCACTCTATGCAGTGCTAATCTATCGTCTCTAGATGGCGCCATTGTACTGCTACATTAGTAGGCTACATGGGCAAACACCTGAACAGTCACTCGAACAGAGCTGACAACTAAAGCAGCAAATATACAATGAATAGCGAAAATTAAAGAAGTAAATAATTACTTTAACATAAGAAACATTTCTAAAACTTTATCCTAACTCTAGTAGATACCATTTTGATTCTCTATGTATACCAGTTGGTTATGGAGGGAGGTGTGAAGTTGATCATTGTTCAACAGTGGCCTGCTACTATAAGTAACACTGATATCTTGGTGTTCTGTCCTCCTCCTGTTATGTCTGCTTTGGGCTGGCTGTGTGAAGCTGTGTGAAGGACATTTCGCTCCTGGAGGAGTCTGGGAGGTTTCCTCTCTCACTACTGTAACCTACCTATGTTGTTTTCATGTTGGGTTGCTACCTTGCTGTGTTGTTGTGTGTTGCTGCCATGCTATGTTGTTGTCTTAGGTCTCTCTTTATGTAGTGTTGTGTTGTCTCTCTTGTTGTGATGTGTGTTTGGTCCTATATATATATATATATATATATATATATATATACATTTTAAATCCTGCCCACGTCTGGCAGGAGGCCTTTTGCCTTTTGGTAGGCTGTCATTGTAAATAAGAATTCGTTCTTAACTGACTTGCCTAGTTAAATAAAGGTTCCATAAAATAAATAAATACCTGTGGCTGGGAGCCTCTGACTGAGGGAAGCCTTCTCCACCCCTCCACCCCTCTTAGTAGTAGTTTTCTGGGTAATGTATTCATTAGGTCACCAGTAATAAATGTAATAAAACATTTTGCAAAAAAGTGTGTTTCTTATTGGACAGTTTCAGGCATTCCCTCCCTGTTTCAGTCTGTTGTCTTCCGTTTGGTACCTATTGTTATAGTTAATACCGTTTGGTACCTATTGTTATAGTTAACGCACAACTGGACAGTTTTTGTGTTTTGGGAACATATATTTTGTGATGTCCCGACAATGTTCCCACCAGACTTTTCCCACAAACTAATGAAACATTCTGGGAACCTTTAAAGAACAGATTAAATGTGTTCTAGGAATGTTCTTGCAACATCAGGCGAATGCTTTATACAAGCATTCTATAATCATCTGCACAACTGGACATTTTTTGTGTTATGAGAACATTTGCCATGAACTAACGAATGTTCTGGGACCTTTCACAGAACAAATTTTGGTTTGCTGGGTGGCATCCTCTATCTTGCTTTGTCTTGCAGTCATCTGATGAAATCACATTGTCATTGTTCATATCAGCCACAACCATGGCACAGAATCTGTAATAATAGTAACGAAACACAATGGTATTATCAGTGGAATATTGCAAAGATGAACTGAATCCAAATTTCATAAGACCTTCGACCATTTTCGTGGTGGTAAGATAGGCCTAAACTTGCTGATAGTTCAATGGGTCCAAGTAATCAAAGCTAATTCAATTAAATCACCTTCTCTACAATTAGTTTCAGGCAAGGGAGAAATGGAGCCAAATTTCCATTGTCAAAACAACCCAAAATAAAACATTTACTACAATATGTTGATTTGTACGATTCACATTCTCTACCATTACACTCTAAATATTTCTCCTCTCCAGGGGAATGCCCTCAATTGTAGTTAAAATGTTTATGGGATGTCTTCAAGAGCTCTTAAAAACCCCAGCCGGCTTGTTTATCCGAGGAAAGAGTCACAAAACAAACTACGCTCAAGTGGAGCCAAGCATGACTAAGCACCTCAGAGAGAGCATCTCTAGTACTATTCCACAAACTCGCTCACCCATATGGGAGAAGCCAGGTCATGGTTCGGATTACAGGGCGGCTAGAGGGGGCTGGGCACCACCATAACAATTCAGGGCCTGCCATGAGAATTTAAATGTACAGTTAATGTACACCCCCCCCCCCCCCCCAAAAAAAAAAACTAATAAGTAAGTACAGTGAGGGAAAAAAGTATTTGATCCCCTGCTGATTTTGTACGTTTGCCCACTGACAAAGAAATGATCAGTCTATAATTTTAATGGGAGGTTTATTTGAACAGTGAGAGACAGAATAACAACAAAAAAATCCAGAAAAACGCATGTCAAAATTTTTATAAATTGATTAGAATTTTAATGAGGGAAATAAGTATTTGACCCCCTCTCAATCAGAAAGATTTCTGGCTCCCAGGTGTCTTTTATACAGGTAACGAGCTGAGATTAGGAGCACACTCTTAAAGGGAGTGCTCCTAATCTCAGCTTGTTATCTGTATAAAAGACACCTGGCCATAGAAGCAATCAATCAATCAGATTCCAAACTCTCCACCATGGCCAAGACCAAAGAGCTCTCCAAGGATGTCAGGGACAAGACTATAGACCTACACAAGGCTGGAATGGGCTACAAGACCATCGCCAAGCAGCTTGGTGAGAAGGTGACAACAGTTGTGCGATTATTCGCAAATGGAAAAAAACACAAAAGACCTGTCAATCTCCCCCAGCCTGGGGCTCCATGCAAGATCTCACCTCGTGGAGTTGCAATGATCATGAGAACGGTGAGGAATCAGCCATGTACCGTCAAATCTTGGGTGAGAACCTCTTTCCCTCAGCCAGGGCATTGAAAATGGGTCGTGGATGGGTATTCCAGCATAACAATGACCCAAATCACACGGCCAAGGCAACAAAGGAGTGGCTCAAGAAGAAGCACATTAAGGTCCTGGAGTGGCCTAGCCAGTCTCCAGACCTTAATCCCATAGAAAATCTGTGGAGGGAGCTGAAGGTTCGAGTTGCCAAACGTCAGCCTCGAAACCTTAATGACTTGGAGAAGATCTGCAAAGAGGAGTGGGACAAAATCCCTCCTGAGATGTGTGCAAACCTGGTGGCCAACTACAAGAAACGTCTGACCTCTGTGATTGCCAACAAGGGTTTTGCCACCAAGTACTAAGTCATGTTTTGCAGAGGGGTCAAATACTTATTTAGCTCATTAAAATGCAAATCAATTTATAACATTTTTGACATGCGTTTTTCTGGATTTTGTTGTTGTTATTCTGTCTCTCACTGTTCAAATAAACCTACCATTAAAATTATAGACGGATCATTTCTTTGTCAGTGGGCAAATGTACAAAATCAGCAGGGGATCAAATACTTTTTTCCCTCACTGTATGTAGTAGAGATGGTACCAGCCATTTGGTAAGAAAGTGACAAAGGTATGGAACGTCTTCCTCCTTCCTGTCTGGCTTCTCGCCTTTCCATCCACAGTAGGAGGAAGACTGTTTCTATTTAAATCGAGACACAGCATGTACAATTAAACATGTGGACATCAAGTACAAGTTCTCTGATTTTCTATCTTCCTGACTCATTTTCCACCAGGCAGTACAATTGTGTTGTCAAAAAGAAACGAAGCAGTCAGAACTGGAATGTTTACAGACAGACAGCCAGGTGAGGGGATGACTGGTGGTACAGAGAGGAGAAAACCAGGTGTGCTACAGGGAAAATGAACATATGTGAGGGGTGTAGTTAGTAGACCACTGGGGCTGGAGGGGATGGCCCACTGCCAGTCCTTCCTGTGGTGTGATGTCACTGTCATCACCATCATCACTATTCACTACCGCAAACAGCTGATGGTGGATCAAGCCAATATACCATATCTAGACTGTGCATGGATCCACAACCTGTTCATCCCTGACCCATTTTAGAGGAAGAAGAGAAGAGAGAGTGAGAGAGAGAGATATTGAGAGAGAGAGAGGGAGAGAGAGAGAGAGAGAGAGATGAGAGAGAGAGAGGGGAGAGAGAGAGAGAAAGGGGAGAGAGAGAGAGAGAGATTGAGAGAAGAGAGGAGAACGGGAGAGAGAGCAGAGAGGGAGAGAGGATGAGAGAGAGAGAGGGGAGAGACGAGAGAGAGAGAGAGAGAGAGAGAGAGAGGGAGAGAGAGAGAAGGGGAGAGAGAGCGAAGAGAGAGACCATAAAATGGAAACGGTGGCTTAAATAACAGTCCACAACGAAACTTGTCTCTGTCATTAGGTGAAGGTCCAATAGAGAGAAAGAGGAGAGAGCTACCCTGCCCTTACCGTATTGTAAAAATGGTCTGTCCTCAACTGAAGACGTGGTTGTGGAGGAGGAAGAGTGATTTCCTCTTGTGATGTGTTTCCACACCTACTTTTCTTACGGTATGATGCTATGGATCATCATCATCGTGTATGTTACCACTCCTCTGAAGGAAAACAGCTGTGTATAGTAATCCCTCAAGGCAGAAAGGTGAGACACATTGTCTAGTCACCTTACCTCTGCTTTCCATTGTGTATGATTACTAATTCTTAATTGGATAAATCATCCCTGTGAGAAGAAAGGACACCTCCAAGGCACCAACTTCTTGTGTTGTTCAATGAAATGAGGATGTAAGAAGTTATTTTTTTCTGAAATGGACTGTGTCATTGGTTTGAACAGATTTACTCTGAAACCCTTTGTAACCGAGATGCGTGCACTCTATGCAGTGCTAATCTATCGTCTCTAGATGGCGCCATTGTACTGCTACATTAGTAGGCTACATGGGCAAACACCTGAACAGTCACTCGAACAGAGCTGACAACTAAAGCAGCAAATATACAATGAATAGCGAAAATTAAAGAAGTAAATAATTACTTTAACATAAGAAACATTTCTAAACTTTATCCTAACTCTAGTAGATACCATTTTGATTCTCTATGTATACCAGTTGGTTATGGAGGGAGGTGTGAAGTTGATCATTGTTCAACAGTGGCCTGCTACTATAAGTAACACTGATATCTTGGTGTTCTGTCCTCCTCCTGTTATGTCTGCTTTGGGCTGGCTGTGTGAAGCTGTGTGAAGGACATTTCGCTCCTGGAGGAGTCTGGGAGGTTTCCTCTCTCACTACTGTAACCTACCTATGTTGTTTTCATGTTGGGTTGCTACCTTGCTGTGTTGTTGTGTGTTGCTGCCATGCTATGTTGTTGTCTTAGGTCTCTCTTTATGTAGTGTTGTGTTGTCTCTCTTGTTGTGATGTGTGTTTGGTCCTATATATATATATATATATATATATATATATATATACATTTTAAATCCTGCCCACGTCTGGCAGGAGGCCTTTTGCCTTTTGGTAGGCTGTCATTGTAAATAAGAATTCGTTCTTAACTGACTTGCCTAGTTAAATAAAGGTTCCATAAAATAAATAAATACCTGTGGCTGGGAGCCTCTGACTGAGGGAAGCCTTCTCCACCCCTCCACCCCTCTTAGTAGTAGTTTTCTGGGTAATGTATTCATTAGGTCACCAGTAATAAATGTAATAAAACATTTTGCAAAAAAGTGTGTTTCTTATTGGACAGTTTCAGGCATTCCCTCCCTGTTTCAGTCTGTTGTCTTCCGTTTGGTACCTATTGTTATAGTTAATGGACCATGGTCCAGTCAGGCCTGGCCTGCTGTGTTTATGCTGTGTGTGCAGCAATGGTTCCACACCCCCTCTGGAAGGTCCAGGGAGGTCCCAAGCATAGAATTAAAGTCACTACAACGGACAGACCATGACATCACGGAATGTTGACTTGAATGGGAATGTCTGTTTGTTCTAGTCTTTCTAATTCTAAGGCCCTGAGTAGCAGCTGTACTGTATATATGGCTGCTGTCTATACATTGCCATTTAAGTCATGCTTAGCGGCTCAGGCCACTGTCTATGTTAATCATGATGGACAGACAATGTGAAAGGGGAAGATCGCATCAGAGAATTGTGCAACTTGAAATACTTTTCCCAGGTCATTATGCTACTGATACTGTGGCCGACTGGCAGGGAATAAATATACTTTTTTAAATGGATCTATATGGAGTTCTATAGGGAGTTTCTTGCCTCAGGCCTCACTTCAGTTACATGGTTTTTAGTATAAATCCAGACTGAAATAGGTCCTGTTTTCTCAAACATTGCAGTGTATATTACTCAACTGTTTGTTTCCCTCTTTCTGGTAACCATGGTGATGTGCCACCTACCCTCTCAGTCAGGGTTGATACTGAAGCTACTGAGATCTTTATTCTCCTCTCCACTCTTGGTTTCCACTAGTAACTGTTCTTTTTTTCTTAAAAGAAAAGTGGAATGGAATTCTCTTTCATATTTGATGCTTTATTGTGAAGTCCTTAATCCTTAAAGTCTCTAAGCCCAGTACTTTCATGTTCAACATGGGTGAGTTATGGCACAATGCAAAGAGGGGGCCAGGAACATTACAGTATATCTCTTGTTCAATTACAGGATCTTAATTTGATCAATCTTTTGTTGCTGAGAATTTTTCTGCACCGTAGGACATTTTTATGAGCTTCTTGATTTGCCTAAATTCACTGAAATTCCAAACTAACACATGGTTATATTAAGAGTATTGCACTTTTCATGTAGCCTACTATTGGCCAGCTAATAGCCTAACCACCAATCAAGCTACATTACATTCAAATCCTGTTGCTGCAGGATTGTGTAGTCTCTGGCAACCAGTCATTTGAAGCGACTCTGGCTGGCAACCTTTGTATACGTGTAGCGCAATTGACAATTTCTGGTTCCTAGAACTGTCAGCCTGGTTCCTAGAACTGTCAGCCTGGTTCCTAGAACTGTCAGTCTGGTTCCTAGAACTGTCAGCCTGGTTCCTAGAACTGTCAGTCTGGTTCCTAGAACTATCAGTCTGGTTCCTAGAACTGTCAGTCTGGTTCCTAGAACTGTCAGCCTGGTTCCTAGAACTGTCAGTCTGGTTCCTAGAACTGTCAGTCTGGTTCCTAGAACTGTCAGCCTGGTTCCTAGAACTGTCAGCCTGGTTCCTAGAACTGTCAGCCTGGTTCCTAGAACTGTCAGCCTGGTTCCTATAACTGTCAGACTGGTTCCTAGAACTGTCAGCCTGGTTCCTAGAACTGTCAGCTTGGTTCTTAGAACTGTCAGCCTGCTTCCTAGAACTGTCAGCCTGGTTCCTAGAACTGTCAGACTGGTTCCTAGAACTGTCAGTATGGTTCCTAGAACTGTCAGCCTGGTTCCTAGAACTGTCAGTCCGGTTCCTAGAACTGTCAGTATGGTTCCTAGAACTTTCAGTCTGGTTCCTAGAACTGTCAGCCTGGTTCCTAGAACTGTCAGTCTAGTTCCTAGAACTGTCATCCTGGTTCCTAGACTTGTCAGCCTGGTTCCTATAACTGTCAGCCTGGTTCCTATAACTGTCAGCCTGGTTCCTAAAACTGGCAGCCTGGTTCTAGAACTGTCAGCCTGGTTCCTAGAACTGTCAACCTGGTTCCTAGAACTGTCCGTCTGGTTCTTAGAACTGTCAGCCTGGTTCCTAGAACTGTCAGCCTGGTTCCTAGAACTGTCAGTCTGGTTCCTAGAACTGTCAGCCTGGTTCCTAGAACTGTCAGCCTGGTTCCTAGAACTGTCAGCCTGGTTCCTAGAACTGTCAGCCTGGTTCTTAGAACTGTCAGCCTGCTTCCTAGAACTCTCAGCCTGGTTCCTAGAACTGTCCGTCTGGTTCTTAGAACTGTCAGCCTGGTTCCTAGAACTGTCAGCCTGGTTCCTAGAACTGTCAGCCTGGTTCCTAGAACTGTCAGCCTGGTTCTTAGAACTGTCAGCCTGCTTCCTAGAACTCTCAGCCTGGTTCCTAGAACTGTCAGCCTGCTTCCTACAACTGTCAGCCTGGTTCCTAGAACTGTCAGTCTGGTTCCTAGAACTGTCTGTCTGGTTCCTAGAACTGTCAGCCTGGTTCCTATAACTGTCAGCCTGGTTCCTACAACTGTCAGTGGTTACATAGGATGTAAGCAAGAGGCCATCCTCAAAATTGATTGCTTTGTCATGATCATTAGGAATAGATACAGTATCAGAAAATGTCCTGAAAAGCATGGTATGTCTTAGAATGCAAACAAACTGAAGGAGGGTTTATGTCTGGGAAAAATGAATTACAGTTATGATGAAAACTAAATATTAGCATTCTTTGTAAGTTAAACTTATCTGTCAATGCAATTTTCTGTAAATGGCCAAATAGTCCTACAGCAGCTTTTTGAACGATATTGTCAACACAAGTGGGGTGATTGACTGTTAGCCCTGTGTGTGTATTTTTTTTGGAACCTATCTCTTGTCATATCCCCACAATGTTCCCACAACCTAATGAAACATTATGGGAACCTTTAAAGAACAGATTAAATGTGTTTTGGGAACATTCTTGTAACATCAGGTGAATATTTCTTGCACTGTAAAAGAAACATTGTAGAATCATCTGCACAACTGGACAGTTTTAGTGTTTTGGGAACATATATTTAGTGATGTCCCCACAATGTTCCCACCAGGGCTGTTCCTACAACCTAATGAAACTTTCTGGAACCTTTAAAGAACAAACAAAATGTGTTCTGGGAACGTTCTTGTAACATCAGGTGAATGTTTTTTGCACCCTAAAAGAAACATTGTAGAATCATCCGCACAACTGGACAGTTTTTGTGTTTTGGGAACATATATTTTGTGATGTCCCGACAATGTTCCCACCAGACTTTTCCCACAAACTAATGAAACATTCTGGGAACCTTTAAAGAACAGATTAAATGTGTTCTAGGAATGTTCTTGCAACATCAGGCGAATGCTTTATACAAGCATTCTATAATCATCTGCACAACTGGACATTTTTTGTGTTATGAGAACATTTGCCATGAACTAACGAATGTTCTGGGACCTTTCACAGAACAAATTTTGGTTTGCTGGGTGGCATCCTCTATCTTGCTTTGTCTTGCAGTCATCTGATGAAATCACATTGTCATTGTTCATATCAGCCACAACCATGGCACAGAATCTGTAATAATAGTAATGAAACACAATGGTATTATCAGTGGAATATTGCAAAGATGAACTGAATCCAAATTTCATAAGACCTTCGACCATTTTCGTGGTGGTAAGATAGGCCTAAACTTGCTGATAGTTCAATGGGTCCAAGTAATCAAAGCTAATTCAATTAAATCACCTTCTCTACAATTAGTTTCAGGCAAGGGAGAAATGGAGCCAAATTTCCATTGTCAAAACAACCCAAAATAAAACATTTACTACAATATGTTGATTTGTACGATTCACATTCTCTACCATTACACTCTAAATATTTCTCCTCTCCAGGGGAATGCCCTCAATTGTAGTTAAAATGTTTATGGGATGTCTTCAAGAGCTCTTAAAAACCCCAGCCGGCTTGTTTATCCGAGGAAAGAGTCACAAAACAAACTACGCTCAAGTGGAGCCAAGCATGACTAAGCACCTCAGAGAGAGCATCTCTAGTACTATTCCACAAACTCGCTCACCCATATGGGAGAAGCCAGGTCATGGTTCGGATTACAGGGCGGCTAGAGGGGGCTGGGCACCACCATAACAATTCAGGGCCTGCCATGAGAATTTAAATGTACAGTTAATGTACACCCCCCCCCCCCCCCCAAAAAAAAAAACTAATAAGTAAGTACATTGAGGGAAAAAAGTATTTGATCCCCTGCTGATTTTGTACGTTTGCCCACTGACAAAGAAATGATCAGTCTATAATTTTAATGGGAGGTTTATTTGAACAGTGAGAGACAGAATAACAACAAAAAAATCCAGAAAAACGCATGTCAACATTTTTATAAATTGATTAGAATTTTAATGAGGGAAATAAGTATTTGACCCCCTCTCAATCAGAAAGATTTCTGGCTCCCAGGTGTCTTTTATACAGGTAACGAGCTGAGATTAGGAGCACACTCTTAAAGGGAGTGCTCCTAATCTCAGCTTGTTATCTGTATAAAAGACACCTGGCCATAGAAGCAATCAATCAATCAGATTCCAAACTCTCCACCATGGCCAAGACCAAAGAGCTCTCCAAGGATGTCAGGGACAAGACTATAGACCTACACAAGGCTGGAATGGGCTACAAGACCATCGCCAAGCAGCTTGGTGAGAAGGTGACAACAGTTGGTGCGATTATTCGCAAATGGAAAAAACACAAAAGACCTGTCAATCTCCCCCGGCCTGGGGCTCCATGCAAGATCTCACCTCGTGGAGTTGCAATGATCATGAGAACGGTGAGGAATCAGCCATGTACCGTCAAATCTTGGGTGAGAACCTCCTTCCCTCAGCCAGGGCATTGAAAATGGGTCGTGGATGGGTATTCCAGCATAACAATGACCCAAATCACACGGCCAAGGCAACAAAGGAGTGGCTCAAGAAGAAGCACATTAAGGTCCTGGAGTGGCCTAGCCAGTCTCCAGACCTTAATCCCATAGAAAATCTGTGGAGGGAGCTGAAGGTTCGAGTTGCCAAACGTCAGCCTCGAAACCTTAATGACTTGGAGAAGATCTGCAAAGAGGAGTGGGACAAAATCCCTCCGGAGATGTGTGCAAACCTGGTGGCCAACTACAAGAAACGTCTGACCTCTGTGATTGCCAACAAGGGTTTTGCCACCAAGTACTAAGTCATGTTTTGCAGAGGGGTCAAATACTTATTTAGCTCATTAAAATGCAAATCAATTTATAACATTTTTGACATGCGTTTTTCTGGATTTTGTTGTTGTTATTCTGTCTCTCACTGTTCAAATAAACCTACCATTAAAATTATAGACGGATCATTTCTTTGTCAGTGGGCAAATGTACAAAATCAGCAGGGGATCAAATACTTTTTTCCCTCACTGTATGTAGTAGAGATGGTACCAGCCATTTGGTAAGAAAGTGACAAAGGTATGGAACGTCTTCCTCCTTCCTGTCTGGCTTCTCGCCTTTCCATCCACAGTAGGAGGAAGACTGTTCTATTTAAATCGAGACACAGCATGTACAATTAAACATGTGGACATCAGTACAAGTTCTCTGATTTTCTATCTTTCCTGACTCATTTTCCACCAGGCAGTACAATTGTGTTGTCAAAAAGAAACGAAGCAGTCAGAACTGGAATGTTTACAGACAGACAGCCAGGTGAGGGGATGACTGGTGGTACAGAGAGGAGAAACCAGGTGTGCTACAGGGAAAATGAACATATGTGAGGGGTGTAGTTAGTAGACACTGGGGCTGGAGGGGATGGGCCCCACTGCCAGTCTTCCTGGGGTGTGGATGTCCACTGTCATCACCACATCACTATTCACTACCCGCAAACAGCTGATGGATGGATCAAGCCATATACCATACTAGACTGTGCATGGATCCACAACCTGTTCTCCCTGACCCATTTTAGAGGAAGAGAAGAGAAAGAGAGAGTGAGAGAGAGAGATATTGAGAGAGAGAGAGAGAGAGAGAGAGAGAGAGAGAGAGAGAGAGAGGGAGAGAGAGAGAGAGAGAGAGAGCGAGAGGGAGCGAGAGATCTTGAGAGCTCGCGCGCCCAGGGCGAGCGATCCGCCAGCGATCTTTCTCGCGCTATTCTGAGCGAGCGCGTATCGCGCGCGCGCCCTCGCGCTCGCCTGCGCTAGGGCTCGCTCCGTCTCAAAGAGAGAATAAATGAAACAGTGGCTTAATAACAGTCACAAGAACATTGTCTCTGTCATTAGAGTGAACGGTCCAATAGAGAGAAAGAGGAGAGAGCTACCCTGCCACTTACAGTATTGTAAAAATGGTCTGTCCTCAACTGAAGACGTGGATTGTGGAGGAGGAAGAGTGATTTCCTCTTTGTGATGTGTTTCCACACCTACTTTTCTTACGGTATGATGCTATGGATCATCATCATCGTGTATGTTACACTCCTCCTGAAGGAAAACAGCTGTTGTATAGTAATCCCTCAAGGCAGAAAGGTGAGACACATTGTCTAGTCACCTTACCTCTGCTTTCCATTGTGTATGATTACTAATTCTTAATTGGATAAATCATCCCTGTGAGAAGAAAGGACACCTCCAAGGCACCAACTTCTTGTGTTGTTCAATGAAATGAGGATGTAAGAAGTTATTTTTTTCTGAAATGGACTGTGTCATTGGTTTGAACAGATTTACTCTGAAACCCTTTGTAACCGAGATGCGTGCACTCTATGCAGTGCTAATCTATCGTCTCTAGATGGCGCCATTGTACTGCTACATTAGTAGGCTACATGGGCAAACACCTGAACAGTCACTCGAACAGAGCTGACAACTAAAGCAGCAAATATACAATGAATAGCGAAAATTAAAGAAGTAAATAATTACTTTAACATAAGAAACACTTCTAAACTTTATCCTAACTCTAGTAGATACCATTTTGATTCTCTATGTATACCAGTTGGTTATGGAGGGAGGTGTGAAGTTGATCATTGTTCAACAGTGGCCTGCTACTATAAGTAACACTGATATCTTGGTGTTCTGTCCTCCTCCTGTTATGTCTGCTTTGGGCTGGCTGTGTGAAGCTGTGTGAAGGACATTTCGCTCCTGGAGGAGTCTGGGAGGTTTCCTCTCTCACTACTGTAACCTACCTATGTTGTTTTCATGTTGGGTTGCTACCTTGCTGTGTTGTTGTGTGTTGCTGCCATGCTATGTTGTTGTCTTAGGTCTCTCTTTATGTAGTGTTGTGTTGTCTCTCTTGTTGTGATGTGTGTTTGGTCCTATATATATATATATATATATATATATATATATATATACATTTTAAATCCTGCCCACGTCTGGCAGGAGGCCTTTTGCCTTTTGGTAGGCTGTCATTGTAAATAAGAATTCGTTCTTAACTGACTTGCCTAGTTAAATAAAGGTTCCATAAAATAAATAAATACCTGTGGCTGGGAGCCTCTGACTGAGGGAAGCCTTCTCCACCCCTCCACCCCTCTTAGTAGTAGTTT